GGCCAAGACTCATAGTCTCGAGTCTCCATTATAGCTCTGTTTGTTGGTTTAGCAGATTTTGCATCTAGGATCCCGTAAAGTTACCTATCGGCGGTCTGGCTTGTTGAACCAAATGCTGAGCTCCAGATGCAAGTCCCACAACCGCAAGCCCAACACACAGCAAGCCCCAAACCCTCAACCCTGTCCGACACCCTCGGAATGGAGCTACCCAAAACCCAAAGTTCCACCCTCCCTAAACTCCGAAAACAAACCCTGAGAAGCCTAAACATAACCTGAACTAGACCCAAGAGTAACCCAGGCATAAAAAGGATGCCCTTTTTGGTTTAAAGGGGCTTATAAGGGAACCTGAACCCTAAAAAAGGGAATAAGGGCCTACTCTGGGTCCTAGTGAAAGACCTAAGCCGCAAAGCCTTACATCAAGCCCTAAACCCCAAACCCCCTAAACCCCCACTGAATCCTAAACCCCCAAAACCCCTGAACACCCCAAATAACCCACAAAACATCCTAAACCCTAAACCCCCCCAAAACCCCAACCCCTAAACCTTTGATGGGCCTTTTTCAAGATCTTAAACCCACAAAAATCCTAAACCCTAAACCCCCCCAAACCAACCCCTAAACCTTTGATGGGCCTTTTTCAGGATTTTCTCCTTCTTCTCGAAGTCGGGGCCTTCCTGGGTCTCAGGGATTTGGGGCTTTGGGCAATGGTTTAATACTATAGGGGCCTTATTAATCATGTGGGACCCATTTTACTATAAGTTTAGGGTTTAGGGTTTAGGGTTTTAATGAGGAGGAATCATCAAAATAGTACTGGTAATTATTCAGGCCCCTATAGTAGGGCTTAAAGGGATTAGGGTTTAAGCTAGGCTTTGGAGTTGGTAGTTCCAGCATCTACGAGACGATTGCTTTGTAGCCGCAGTACTGAAGGATCAGCATCTGGGGTGTAGGCGGTGCTACTTTGGACGTGTGCTGTCGTTCAACCAGGGTATACTTCAGATCACCCTGACACTCCTGTCAAATCTATAGAATCTATACTATAGAATCTTACTCCCACCTGGCATGGAGCCTCGAAGCCTAGACCCACCTTAACCCTGAAGAACCTGCCCGTTTAGGGACTTTATAACGAAATCATAATAAGGAACCCTAAAAAGGTAGGTTCTTCAGGGTCCAATCAGACTTCACCCCAACATCCGGCACTAGACCTAAGAGTAACCTAGTCATAAAAAGGGTGCCCTTTTTGGTTGAAAGGGGCTTTTAAGGGAACCTGAACCCTACAAAAAGGGAATAAGGGCCTACTCTGGGTCCTAGGACATCACAGACTGATCCCAAGCTCCCTTCGCCGCTCAGCAGATCCCCGGCCAAGCCTCACAAACCCTCACTGTTTAAGGTTTAGGGGTTTAGGGTTTAGGGTTTGGGGTTTGGGGGTTTAGGGGTTTAGGTTTCTCGAAGTGTGTTTGGGTTTCAGGGATTAGGACTTTGGGTTCGGGATTTAGGGTTTGCCGGTTGTTGGGAATTCTGGGTTCAGAGGTCCTTATTGTGCTGGAGACTGTAGTTGGTTGCCCTCGCTGGGCCCTAGATAAGAGCTGATAGAACTGGTAAAGAGTGGGCTTCCAAGGCTATGCACGACTGGGATAAGGGAATCTCATCGCCGCTACAGCCCTGTAGGCATCTCCATTCCCAACTCGCGAAATTCCTACGTGGATTGAAGCCCCAGAGACTCAAGTCACTGCTAGGGTTGAGGGTAACTGAAGCCCTGAAGACCCTAAGCCCTAAACCCCTAAACCCTATACCCTAAACCCCTAAACCCGAAACTCTAGCCTGAAGGGCCATTCACTACATCCAAGCCCTCAGCACTGAATCCTGAGCCCGCGGCGCCACCTGGAAACGCGGCCTTCCTGGTAACTCGTACGAGCGAACTGTGCCGTGTCTTGCGCTTGGGCTACTGGGAGTTTTCTACAGAACTACTCTAGAGACACCGTGCTATGGCTATGCTGATGGTCAGCTGTTCGGTTACGATGGCGACAAGCATGAAAGCCTAAAGCCTGGTATCTTGCTTCAAGCCGATGTGTGGAACTGCCTGAAACAAATATCTGAACTCGCAAGAGCAGACTCCTGGAGCCGAATTGGGAGTTTCCGAAAATGAGGGGTACCCTATTTTGGGGTCCGTAGAACAAGGAGCCTGCTATTTAGGGTACTAAAATACGGTCCCCCAAACGGGCTTCCACAGCCAAATCGAGGAGTTGGGGGCTTTATGTCAGAATGCGGGAACTCTGGTATGATGGCACTTGAAGCGGCCCTTGCAAGTGTTCAGATCCGTAGGAACCAACCCTCTCCCGCCCCATACGATACGTGGGTGAGCTAAGCTCTCAGCAAATTTGCCACGCCGAGGTCGCTGAGGTCCTGACAGGTTCGATCTGCAGAGTGGAAGCTATGGGCGTTGGAAGTTTACAAGATAAGTTGCTTTGAGGGGAGGGGAAACTTATAGTAAAACGTAATATATGGGAAATGGTATCTCCATATTCGGGTCTGGATTAAGGTTTGAGATGCAGCATCGTCGCTGATGTCGTTGTTCTAGAACTACCGTTCTCAAGGTGGGCCGTTGCTGCTGATGACCTATCAATGTATCAGCATTGTGTGTGGCTCTTACTATCCGTAGTCTTGTGCAATTTGCTGTCACTATCACATTACATACGACTAAACTGACCGTTGCTCTCAGAGCTAACAGTAGTTGCATGCAGATCCCAACTCTTACCGCCGCCCCCGTGCATGCGGACAGGGCGGGCTTCCTAAACCACCGTCCCCGACCCGTTAACCTTAAAGCCCAGGAAGTTGGAACACGGATCAGGGATAACTAGTGCCAGCTAGGGTTCCCTACAATGCACCTCCATGGTCTGAGGATAACGAGGTTCACATTACTCAACCCTGAACCCTAAATCCTATAACCCTAAACCCTATAACCCTAAACCCTAAAACCCTAAAACCCTAAACCTTAAAACCTAAAACCCTAAAACCCTAGACCCTAAACCTTAAAACCTTAAAACCTAGGCCCTAAAACTCGAAACCCCTACATTGCATGACCTGTGCTCCCGCGGGTCCTCCGGCATCTCGCGGAGACGCTTGCCCAAGGCCTCATTGTGGGGGGCAACGAGTTTAGGGTTTAGGGTTTAGGGTTTGGGGTTTGGGGTTTAGGGATTAGGGTTTAGGGTTTAGGGTGTGGGGGAGCGGTTGGGTACTGATTCCCTCAAGGATTTAGGGTTCCTTACAGGGTTTAGGATTCCTTTAAGGGTTTACGGTGTAGGGTAATAGGGGGCATAGGTTGGGTACTGCCCCCATACACTAACAGTCTATAATAGGGCTGCAATGAAGCTCCTAATATAGCTATATTATGAATAGAAACCAACTGTTACTGAGTGGGGGGCAGTGCCCAAGGTAACGGGATTAAGTTGAGCGACCTAGTGACGCGCCACAAAGCGGAAGAAACCAAGCTGGTCTTGCAGCAGTGCCCGTTTGAAATGACTTCCTTCAGCAGCGGCACTACTCCATTCAATGTTGCAAAACAGGCTAGCACTTGTAACGAATCTTATCCTTGGATTCCAACACCCCAAATCCGCGAAACTTCAGCTGTTGCGTCCAGGTTCGTGTGGGAGGCGGTGCTCTCGGTTTATGGCAAAGGCATTACGAGGAACCCTAAGGAACAATATTGGTAATGGTTCCGGCTTCGAGAATGTTGCCACCCAACGGGAACTTCCCACATGCCCAGCCCGGAAATTCGCCCAACTAATCTCGCAGCCGCAAGACACCGACTTGCAGTGAAACCGTACATCCCCACCCAATGCTGAGGTCAGACCAGAACCCTAAACCCTAACCCCTAAACCCTAGACCCTGAACCCTAAACCCTAGACCCTTAAGACTCCGATATGAACTCAGGAAGTTCCATAAACCCTAAACCCAGAAGCCTGAAACCCATACCTTAAACAAGGGCTTAGGGTTTATCGGGTTCAGGTTAAAACGCCCTAAAACCATATGGCCCCAACCCCTAAACTCGAGCTCTGTCATGTCTGAGAGTTTGGCGTTCCAGAAAGACTGGTGGTGGGGCATCACGGGTGCTACCACCTCGGAGCAAATCTTGAGCTGGAGCGGCTTTTGTCGGGCTGTCTCCGGTGTTGTAGACGGCGTTATAAGGTTTTGAATGGTCTTTATAGCAACTATAGAGTTTGTGTCGGGTGTCTTTTCTTTCATGAAACCGACAATGGTGCCCTACTACCTATCACTTAGAATATATGTTTTTTGGGTATAGTGCCACATTCAACATATAGGGGCTACAATAAAAGGGAATAGAATACTGTGGGATACATCTACTAAGATCCCCAATACGCACGGACGAAAGCATGCTACATGTTTGGTATTTGGAAGTATTCTAAACCACAGAAAGTACCCTAAACCCTAAACCCTAAAGCCTAAACCACAGAAAGTGGAAAGGAAAAGGGCCTACTGGGAGACCAAAACCCTCAACCCCTGCTAGAACAATCCCTGTCTGCACTTGTTTTGGTGGGTCTGCGCTTTAGGGTTTGGCTCTGGGTTTAGGGCTTAGGGTTTAGGGTTTACATTCTTGGCTTAGGGTTTGGGCTTGGGTTTAGGGCTTAGGGCTTGGGTTTAAGATTTAGGGTTTGCGATGTTAGGGGTGAGCAGAACCGTTGACACATCTTAAATCTTAAATTCTTAAAAGCATTTAAGCCGTACCTACTCCCAGTCCGGGTACAAACTCTTACGTCTTACTTACAGTACAGCCACATTACTCTATTGCAGACTCGGTAACCTCTGGAAGTTTCGTGTAAGCGCCATAGCCCCTAGAAATTGTAACAATCCTATAATTTAATGAGGGCCTACGGGCCAACCCCAACACCCCAACATGTCAAAGATCACTTCTTAAACCCAACCCCCAAACCCCACAGAAAACCTCAAACCCTAAACCCTACACCCTACACCCTAAAACCGACTCCCAAACCCCAAAGATCACTCCGGACTCTGAGTGTGCAGCCAGCGCGAGCTTCGAAAGCTGATCGGCCGAGAGCTGGCCTCTTGAAAGCTGTTGAAGGGTTCCTTTAAGGGCTCCTTTAATTGTTTCTTTAGGGGTTCCTTTAAGGGTTCTTTTAAGGGTTCCTTTAAGGGTTCCTCTATGGGTTCCTCCAAGGAATCCTCTAAGGGCTCTTTTAAGGGTTCTTTTAAGGGTTCCTTTAAGGGTTGATTTAAGGGTTCCTCTAAGGGGTCCTGTGAGGGTTCCTTGAAGGGTTCCTTTGGGGTTTAGTTTAGGGTCTAAGGGTTCCTGTAAGAGATCCGTTACGGTCTACTAGGGTTTAGGGATGGGGGTAACCATAGACTTCCTGGCCCTTCTGAGTACTTTTGAGGGTCCTAAATGGGCTTAGGGAAGCTTAGGGGGTTCAGGGCTCCCTTAAGGGATTCTTCTAGGCCCGCTCTAAGACTTTAAGGGGTTCCCGTGACGGGTTTCACCATGAGGAGCCCTTTGGTGTAGGGTTGATGGCTTAAGGCTTAAGGTTTCGGACAGGGCTCAAGGTTTAGGGTTTTTAGCGTTTTGGGCCCAAGGTTGATGATTTCCTCTTTCATCCGAAATGTCATCACCATCCTCGCCCACAAATTGCGAACCCTCTGAGGCCTCTTACATCCAAATTCCGGAACCCTTCGTAACCATGATGTGGATATCTGACACATAAACTGGTTATTTTGAGGACTTATAAGTACCATAACCCCAATTAGGGTCCCTTTTTAGGGTACTTATAAGTCTACTTACTACCTTACCCGAACATCAAAATCCGAATGCGGTGCACGCTGTCAATTCCCAAACCCGGCCCAAGCCCTGAACGAGCAAGTCAAATCTGTATCCGCTGCCTCACGCCTGGCAAACGCAGGACAAGCTGACAGTGTACCTATAAGGAGTCGTTTGTCAGTTCTTAAAGTAGAAGCCAGAAAGTTGGAATATGATTCCCCTAAGCACTTTATGGTAAACTACAGGGTATCCTACCATTAATCCATATTCCAACTTTCTGGAGTTCCCTTTAACCATGTAACGGTGGGTTTCGCAACCGAGAGCCCTCAACCCTGCAAACCCTAAGCCGCAGTCAAGCCTAAAACCCGACAATTTGAACCCTGAACCCTCCCTGAACCCTAAAACTTGAACCTTAAACCCTGAACGCTCTAAAACTTGAACCCTAAACCCTAAGCCCTGAACCCTCTCAAACTTGAACCGTAAAACCCTGCCTTTCGCTTCGAGGTCCTGCCGCCTCTGCTCTATCCTGAGGCTTGCGGCTTACGTATAGGATCAAAAGGTTTGGGCTTCAGTATGTTCAGGGATTACCGCATAGGGTTTAGGGTCTGTGGCATTTAAGTTTTCCAGTATAGGGCTTAGGGTTCAGGGATTCTGGGCTCGGACACAAGCTGAAGTTTGTTAGAGGGCTCCGCCCGCCCAGGGCAGCAAAGCTTGCTTAGGGCGTGCTTGAAAGGGTGGGGCGGATAGGCCTACTTGGAGATTCATGGGTGGGTGATAAGTCGGGTACTGCAGGAACCTGGTTATGAAACCTTGGGCCTTTATGAGGGTTCCTTATATGAACCCTACTATTTTTGGGGTGCTAGGCCCAGTGTTTCTTAATCAGGTTTCTACAGTAGGGTAATTGTACTTCTAACCCTACTTATGACTACGTCGAGCTCCGTTGCTCTTCTTGCAACGGTGATATCAGAATCCCTTCCCGTCCTGTAAAACACCTTACCTGTAGTCTCCATTAATAGAGTTCCTTCTTTGGGCCAACCAAACATGTTTTTTTGATCCTACCAAAAATTGGTTAGCCAGCCAAAAAATCGAACTAGGGTCGCACGCCACAACGTTGTAAGCTCCCAACACCCCGGAAGTAATATAGCGGCCTTAGTGATTAGAATAGGGTTTTGGGGCCCATTATGCTATATAATTAGTAATTAGAATCAGGAACCCCCAAAATAGTATAGTAGGTAATTGTTTCAGGCTTTATAAAAGGCTTTCTGGATCATGTTTCATGACGAAGTCTTACAGCTATCCAGCAAGGATTGCCACCGGCCTTGACAATGCTGGCCAATCCTTTGCGCAGGTTCCGTTCCTGGCCTTTCCCGAGCTTTGCATCCTGGTTCTTGCAGTGTGGCTTGTCCAGCAGCTCAAGCAATGGCTTGCATTCTTGCGTTGCCACCACTGGTGTTGTTAAGCCCTAACATTTCCGCCAGCCTTGAAAGTGTCAGCTCATCCCCCTTGCTGTAAACCAACCGCAGGTCTGGCAGGCCGCGCCGAGGTCTGACACGAACCCTAAACCCCTAAACCCTAAACCCTAAACCCCTAAACCCTAAACCCCTAAACCCTAAACCCTAAACCCTTACGAACTTACGAGCCAAAACCATGAGCCGGGTATAAAGTGGTGTCATACACCCTAAAACCCCAACCAGACCGCAAATCCTAACACGTATTCGTTAAACCCTTACAGCCCCAAATTCATGTAACCTGAAGACGTATGGTTCGAATGAAGTGCAGGAAGCCTTTAAGGAAGCCTTCAAGCCTTATGGTTTAGGATCTATGGTTTAGGCTTTAGGTTATGTTTTAAAGGTGCAGGGTTAGGGTTTAAGGTTTAGGGTATTTTGGGCTTAGCCCTCGTTCTACTGTCTGGTTCTTAGTCGGGAATGGGGGAATGGACTACGGAGGCTATTTTACAGACTCATATAGGGACTACTACAGGGATCCATTCCCTCATTCCCTACGAAGCACCAGACAGTCTAAACATATCCCTTAGGGTTCAGGGTGGATCTAGGGATTAGGGTGTAGGTGTAGGCCTTCTTTTAAGGAGCAGGGTTTAGGGTTGAAGGTTTGGGATATTTTGAGCTTAGCCGTCTGAACATACCCAAGACGCTTGTCTGGACCAAGAAGGCCCTCCAGCCTTGCAAGGGACTTCATTCATGCTCTCCAAGAATTCTAGGTTTCTGAGGAGCAGATTTGAAGGGATCGCGAGGGTGCCTTTAAAGGGATCTATAACGGTACTATAAGGGTTTAGGGATTAGGGTTTCTGAGTAGCCTCTTCATAATACTGGAACCCTTGTTCCTACTATTCGGTGTCAAAACGGGGACGCCCCCCCAAAAAAAATGCAAAAGGGTACTACTCAGGAAACTGGAATTGTAGCCCCAAAGGGTCGTAAGTACCTATGAGGTGCCTTTAACCGGTTCCTTTAAGGGTTAATCTGAGTGCTCCAAAAAGGGCCCCGTAGATAATACAGAAGCCAGACTGAACAGTTGGGGGTTTGGGGTTTAGGAACTTGGCTTCAGGGTTTAGGTAATTTGGGTCTAGAGCTTAGGACGTTTGGCTTTAGGGTCTAGGCTTGGGGTCTAGGGGTTTAGGGTTAAGGATTTAGCACTGGACTAGGGTTTCGGGAGTGTGTTAGCAAAAGTTGTACTAATAGAAAACCTGAGCAATACTGTCGTTGTATTCTGGAACGATGGAATACTTTTGCTAATCATTCAGACCCCTATATTAGCTTGTCTGCTGTCTTGTGCTCTCTGGGCTTTAGCAGGAAAGCTCATGGTAGCGTAAGGCTTCTTCAAAGGAAGTAGAGTCTAGTATCGAGAAAGAACCAGAGTTTGGACTTCGGTTCATACGGTTGGTTCTTCGAGTTCAGCATTGCCAGGACTGAGGCTGAAGGTGGCAGCACGTGCTCCGCTCCCGTCGCAATCGTTTTCCGTGAACGTGGGACTCTACAACGCATGATATGGATGATGGTTGCCAGCTCTTGAATAGCCCCAAGTACGATTTTAAGCTCCCTGATTTGGCTTCGAAACCGTTGGGCCCTCAGCTACTTTATTGAAGAATTCGGGCTGTATCTTAGGGTTTGAGGTTTTGAGGTGCAGGGCACCAAGCCCCAGAGCCCGCAAACCCTACACCCTAAGGCCTTCTTGCATACATGCTTTGTGAGACCTCATTTTCGGGCAAGCATTAGAAAATCGTGGTGTTTTCGGTTGGTCTTGGACTTCAGTGCGTCGTTGGGAAGACCTTTTTGGCTGTGTGATATCGGTGTTTAGGGTTTAGGATCAGGGTCAAAGGTTGAGGGCTGTAGGTCGGGTCCCAGATTCCTGTGAGACAGGCCCCGCTTACGAGCAACGAGACCTATGAAGATGGTGGCGGGCTTTAGGGTTTGAGGTCAGAGTGCGGTTTAGAGTGTGGTTTTGGGTTTTCGAGTTTCTGAGTTGTCATTATGAAAGGCAATATACAGGCCTCAATTAGGACAGGGTTCGGGGGCACTGTATAACAGGTTTACAGGGACACCAGGGGGATCGGACTACTACAACAACCCCTAAGCCCTAAACCCCAAAACCCTAAAACCCTAAACCCGAAACCCTAAAACCCAAAACCCCAAAACCCTAAAACCCGAAACCCCAAAACCCTAAAACCCGAAACCCCAAAACCCTAAAACCCGAAACCCCCAAAACCCTAAAACCCGAAACCCCCAAAACCCTAAAACCCTAAACCCCAAACCCCCAAAACCCGAAACCTTCGCCTTCGACCCCTCGAACATTACTGGTGCGAACACAGAGGCTCAAATATTCAGGTGAATATTTAGGTTACAATTTCGCATTTAGGACGGACTTCGTGTTGTAGCTGTTGCTGGTATTCCGCTTCATCACCTATCTTAAACATCCTTCAGGTGAATACCCTGAGCAGGCCGTGCCTCGTAGCTTCATAGAAGCCTCGGCCGGACTTAGATTTTAGGGCAGAGCTTTGGCTTCTTATTAGTAGCATTAGTTTATACTCGTAGTAATAAGCATACTGTCCATTCTTACTGTTTATTCTTGTATTATTAGCATTACGACTATATCTTCTAGTTAGGATAATCTGAGTATTCTATTGCTAGTATTCTGTCTGTCCTTACTGTTAATCTTCTTGATCTTTTAAGGGCTTTAGGGTGTTGGGGCTTCGGGGGTTGGAGGATGGCACAGGGCTTTAAGTGGGAGTTTCCGAAAATAGGGGACCCTAATACAGTATCCTAAATAATCGGATCCCTATTATAGGGACCTCAGAATAAGGTACCCCTCATTTTCGTAACTTTCGGAAACTCCCAAATATTTAAGGTTTCTAGTGCTCAGGACAAGAGGGCCGGGACTGAGCTCTAACCCTAAAGCAATCTAAAATCTAAACTCTATACCCAACAGCTGTCCTTGGCATCCAAGCCGGCCAACATAAAACATACCATACACATACAAAGAGAGAGAGAGAGAGAGAGAGAGAGAGAGAGAGAGAGAGAGAGAGAGAAAGAGGGAGAGAGAGGGAGAGAGAGACACCAAAACGATGATTTGATTAGACTGACACTGGTCTAAACCACGCAGGATCAAAGCCATGAGAACACAAATCAAACCTCTGAAACCCTGAGGCGCTGGAGAACCACAAATGAAGGCTGGAACAACAACTAACAGGTTGTTTAGGGTTTAGGAATGTGCGGTTTAGGGTTTAGGAGTATAGGTAGTTATCTAAGCCCCTAAAACACATGCAGCCGAAGGGCTTGCGGCCCAATTGTCTGCCATCTTGTTGAGTGCAGGATGCTCACCACCTTTCGGTTTAGGGTTGAGGGTTTCTTTTTCTGGGCCCTTACTTTTTTCCGTCTGCACTTGCGTCCGAAACCCCAAAAATTGAGGGAGCCTGTGGACCCGACCCAGGAACCCCCGCAAGTCAACCCAACAGAAAACCCCGAGAACATAAGTACCACTTTATACCGAAATTGTAGGGTCGGCTCCAATCAAAAGGGCTGAGGGTTTAGGGTTTAGGGTTTAGGGTGCCAGTGCAGCGGCATCAGAATGAGGACGAGGATGTTGTTGATGACGAGGTCGATGAGGGTGATGCTGATGGTGATGTTCAAATTGCTCATTTTTGCCTACCGCTGTTGCTGCTGCTAGCGCCGCAGAATTACAACTGCAACCGTGACCACACCGACGACGATGACCACTGCTGCTACTGCTGCCGCTACGGCTACCACTACCATTGCCACCCCGACCGCCGCGACCACAACCAGTACTGCTACTGTCTGCTACCAACACTCCAACTAGGGGGACCTTAGTTATCAGGATATCCTCATCGGGGTTCGATTACATGAAAGAACCCCGAGGAACAACACTAGTAGTAATTTTCAAGCTTCTATATTCAAGTATGGGTCCTTCGCTTGCCTCTGGGTTCTAAGAAGTGTGAGTCGGCAAGCACGCTGTGGTCTAGAGCGTCTTAAAAATGTGATAAGGATGGTTGTGCACATAAACATATGCATAATCTCGTATATGTAGGTTAAATAATGTATGTCCCTACATACATACTTACATACATACGGAGAAGAAAGGAGAACGGACTGATATTACAGAAATCGATTTTCTGGAGCAAGGACCAGACATGTTCTCTTTGAACATCTGAAACACACATTCCAGAATCAGAACACCGGCGCCCACTGTACGGCTTAACGACGCCGAGGTGACGAGTGCTGAGCTACGTGAATGAGCGGAACAAAGCATGATTTCAGTCCCAGGCACCAAGTGGCAACAGGCCCTGCATGAGCAGCATCATCTGCGAGGGCTGGATATCGCTGACCCTGCGAGGATGTCAGTGTCTGGCGCAGGCTTAGCTCTGGCAGTAGCTGCAACGTCTCTCGTTCGCACTGGTGCATTTTAACTGCAATGCTACGCGGATTGCTGCACCGATGCTGGAGACCTCTAGACACTCGGGTCAACACAACAATCGAAACCCAGCCTAAACCGCATGACCTGCGAAGACGCGAACAAACCCTGGAGACTGTCGCAGCATGCCCTAAACTCTGAAACTACTTCTCGTAATTGCACTAGGTATGGCTTTTCTTCTGCAAAGGTGCCGGCTCATGTCGATTTCAAAGCAGCCTCTTTAACACTGTCATACCACTGTCCCTGGCCGGCAGTCTCGTCGATTCTCTTTTCCACCATTCATGGCAGTCTTAGTCCTATGGACACCAGCCGTACGCCGACCAGTCTGCATGTCATCATGGAAGTTGCTGCCAGTATCAGTACCTGTTGCTACTGGGCCGTCTCGTCCGCCTCCAGCTTCTCTGCCCCTCCGTCCTCCCCGTCCGTCTTCTATTCCAAGTATGCCCAGGACATGTTCATCCTACATCTCCTGGATTTGCCGGGCATCAATGCAGAATCCAGAAGATTCTCAGACTAGAGTATTCCCAAAGCCCCCTCGATTCAGTCGAACCAGCAGGAGCCTGCAGCCGACAAAACTTCAACAGCCGCCACTTCGACCGAACATGAACTCTACTCTGACCGCTCCAGAAACGCACCCAAAGAAGCCATCCGACTCCCGCCCCAAAGAGAAAAAAACAACACGAACGCTTCACGAGCCTCGCGATGGCCTCCTGGGCTGCCGCCTCTAAGAGGGGCGCACAGGCCTGCAATGTCACGACGACACTCGCAAGAGGGTGTTCTCTCCTGAAGGCCTTTGTAGACCCGGGACCGGTAATTCCGAAACCTTATGCCCTCGCAACCAAAAACGAACCCTACAAAATATGATACTCTTTGTTGGGGCTCCTACATAAGATACCTCTCTGGTCAGAAATCACTGTATAAAATCAGTATATACTGCTGCATCAGAACCTCGTAAAACAAGCCTTATAGCAACACTAGCTCTAAACCCCTATAGTACCCCTTCACTTTTAGTAAGTGCTAGAGGGACCCCTATTTGGGGGTTCAGAAGCCTCCTAATATGGGTTGTTCATACGGTTACCCTACTTCCCCACTCAGAACTTCCCATTTATGTAGACCCTAAAGCCTAAATCCCTACAAGAACCCGGAAAGGAACCCTGAGGGGGACCCTTAAAGGAACCCTTCAGGGCACCCTTTAAGGAACCCTAAACCGTAAAGAAGACTTGCAACTACCCATGAAGCTCAAAGTCAGGTAATCTCTGCGCCTCAACTTTGGTCACAGCCAGCACCACCTCCGAGCCAGGCAGGCTTGGATTTTGGCAGTTTGGGGTTTCGGGATTAGGATGAGCAGTCCCCCTTAAGTACCAGGTCCCAAAACAAGCATTGAACTATGGTACCCCTACACACTGAACTCCAAATCCCAGGAGTCTAAAGGTTTATGTAGGGTTCTATTGGGTTTCAGGTTTGTTTCAGGGTTTAGGGTTGAAGCTTCAGAGTTCACGGCCTGTTTAGAGCTTGAGACTTTGGCATCCGTGTTCTTGATTTGTACGAGTTAAGGGTTGGGAGTTGAAGGGGCCCAGGGTTTAGGCTTTAGGGCACCTCTGGTTTGACTGGAGCCGCTTCCAACAAACCCTCAGTTCGTTCCACAGCTCAACTCATCCGTGGAAATAGCATTCCGAGTCTTGGCGAAGATGTGAGATAGGGGCCTTACTCATAAGGGCAATGTTTTGGGGTATCCTGAGGACTTTAGGTATATATATATATATATATATACATATACATATAACATAGTTGTATAATTGTTCAAGCTTTCATATAAGGAATGCCTGGGAACAATAAAAGGCCCAAGATCTGCAAAAGGCTGGGCAACTCCACGTCATAACGGACCGGCATCTCTAGAAACGGATGAAAGGCATCCGAACCCAAAAACCTAAAAAACCCTAAGACGAGTGGTCGAGTGGTCGGACACACATGCTGCTGGGAGTTTCCGAAAATTAGTACCTTATTTGGGGGGTCCGTGTCATAGAGATCCTACTATTTAGGGTATTATATTAGGGTCCCACCTTTTCGGAAACTCCCTGCTCAATCAGGAGGAATGCCGGGTCCTCAACACCAGAGCTCCTCTCAGACTTAGTACCATGCTATAGGTGCCTGAATAATTAGAATAGGGTTCCTTGAAAGGGGTCTATAGGGGCTACTATAAGGGATCTATATGGGTACTATACTATAGGGGCCAGAATACTTAAAATAGGGTTTTGGGTCCCATTATAACAAGGAGCCCCCAAAATAGTATTGGCAATTGTCTAAGCTCCTGTAGTACCCTACAACTACTGACAAAGAACAGCACGAGTGAGATGCACCCTCAAGTCTTTCTCTCTGCCCTTGGCAGCTGACCAGGGTCTCCCCAGTGCTGTCCTAGGATGCAGGACCTTAAGCATTTTCAGTCCTGGCTCTCTTGGGCCCGCCCCCCAGGAGTTGCCTCATCTCCTCGCTTTTCACCAGATCTAATGGCACTTGCCCGGCAGGAGACACGGATGTCAGATCAGCTCTGGAAATTATAAGCAGTTGAGCAATCTCGAGGGAGTCCTTTGACGCAGCAGCATGCAAAGCTGTGGGCAGGTCTGCATGCTCCCTTCGTTGATGAAGATCAGCTCTGCTCTCCAGCAGCACCTGCACAGTATCGGGCTTGTTGTGCAAGGTTGCTCCAAGCAGCGGACTTTCTGAATTTGTGTTGCTTGCATTGACACTGCACCGGCTCTCCACCAAAAGCTTCACTGTCTCGGCGTGACCCCGCTTAGCAGCCAAAAGCACCGACGTGGCTCCACAGTCCATGATTGTAGTGTCCGTACGTCGGACGTTCACATCAGCACGAGCTGCAATGAGCTCTTTCACCACTTCCGTGTGCCCAAAAAGTGAAGTCTGGAGAATGGCGGTGGTTTGATCCCAGTTGGCTCTTTCCTGCTCTGCACGCATCAGCAATTCCTACACCTCACCAACTCAACAACAACCTGAACTGTGTTATCAGAGACTCCAATCAAGCATTCCCGCACAACTTGGTCAGACGAGGAAGAAAGCTTATGCTTTTCCAGCCAAGCTGCATTCACATTCGCCCTTTGTGCTAGTAGCTTTTGCACCAGCTCCACATTCCCTGTATGAGCTGCACCAAACAGTGGCGGCGGGCAGTGGTGGAAGGCCAGATTTATATCTGCCCTGCAGCTCAGCAAGACGTCCACAACTTCTTTGTTGTTATGATAGGTCGCGATGTAGATGGAGTTCCATCGCATGAATTTCCATGGTTGGGATCCGCCCCAGCAGCCGCTAGGGCTTCAACCAGATTGGCATGACCAGCCTGGCCATGTGTATGTGTGCATGTGTGCATGTGTGCATGTGTGCACATGTGTGTGTGTGTGTATGTGTGTGTGTGTGTCTGTGTGTGTGTGTGTCTCTGTGTGTGTGTGTGTGTGTCTCCGTGTGTTTGTCTGAGAGTGGGATGAACATGCATGGTCGCGGATGTCGATGGGGGTTAAGGCCCTTGTGACCTATCCGTGGCTCGATTCTCAAAGGCTACACGGTAATGTCCATGCGCCCACAGCCTTGGCAGCCAGTTGCAAGGGACTCTGCCCCCGATCCGTCTCGGCATGGATGTCCGCACGCTGGCCAAGAAGCTGCTGCAACTCATCAGCAGTGCATCCAGATGTGGCAGCTCGAAGCAAGTCAGCGCTGGGTGCAGTCATGGCCCAAACGGCCCGAAGTATATTTCTTGTAGCAAGTGTGGCTTCTGCATTCGGAGTCACAATTATGGTTTGGGTATGTACCCCCCATTAAGGAGCCCTTAAACAGAGCCCTAAAACGAATCCGTATAGGTACTTAGTATCCTTTGGGTAACTATGTGCGCAAACCAAGATTTGCCTCATGACCCTCAATAGGCGATCATATACCACAGTAGATTGCACTATCACACTATACTGTAATATACCATAACCTACAATAATATACCAACATGTACCATAGTCTACTGTAATACTGTACTATAGCCTGTAACTTTGATGAAGCTTGTTCCATGATTTGCGGCTTCGAGCCTGCACGGCTCATCGGGTCCGGAAGGGAGTGAGCAGAAAGCAGAGCAAGAGAGATCGATAGAGAGAGAGCGAGAGAGAGACAGAGAGAGGCTTTGCTGAACTTTGGCCCTCCTTTGAACAAATTCATCCGTTTCTTAACAGTTCTAGGAACCGAACATTGAAACAGATTTCCAAGCACCCCTGAGGAAAACGAGAGAGAGAGAGAGAGAGAGAGAGCCGCATTTCCAACGGACAAGACAACATTACAGTATAGTATGGTGTATGATGGTATATCATTGTAGGTTATGGACAACTCAAGCACAAAAGAGCTCTTGCAAAGGCCTGACGTCTTGCAGTCTCGCATCGCTATATGTCATGGGACAACAAAGTGCTGGTCGATGGTTTTTACAGACCGCCTAAAGTGAAAGCAGAGAAAATGCCCCAGAGCCCGGGGGGAAGCCGTGCCTGAACAGGTGATACACTTTAAGCCCTATATTATCTTAGTCTTGAGTTTTGCTTATATATCCCTTTCAAGGCCCTCAGCATGCCTAAAATCAACCCAAAGCCCAAAACACTAAACCCTGAACCCTAAACCCCAAACCCTGAACCTTAGACCCCAAACCCTGAACCCTAAATCCTAAATCCCATTATAGATCCCTTTATGGAACCCTTATAGATCCCGGAGGTCAAGACATGAGGCGCCTTGATGAGCTGCGCAGGCGACAGCTCTGCGAGCTTGGGTGGTATCACCTGCTTGGGGGTTTTACGGTTTACTCGGATGGGCAGGGGACTTAGTAAGTAGGTTATAAGTAGAGTTATAAGTACCCTAAATGAAGTTACCCAATTATAAACCTACTTATAACCTGCTTACTAAGTCCCCTGCCCTTCCAAGTAGGGCTTGGGGTTAGGGCTTACCTTTTCAGGGCCCAGTCCTTCAAAAGGTAGGTTATTTGGGTGACTTTCGGGTTTAGGGGTTTAGGGTATAGGGTTGCTTTTGGGTCAGGGCTTTGGGTTGAGGGGTTAAGGTAGGGGTTTAGAACTTAGGGCTTGGGATTTGGGAATTCTGCAGGGTTCAGGTTTAGGGTTTAGGGTTCAGGGTTTAAGATTTATGGTATTACCTGAACCCTACACGACCTGCCTGTCTCTGGCTCCGTAGGTTCATTGGGATCCAGGAAGGAATCAGGGTTATCAGTTAGCAGGGTTTGGGGAAATGGATGAAGGCTTTACTAGGGGGGCAAGGAAAAGGGTCTTCATTCAAAGAGCTGCCACCCTGTTTCGACGTGTGTCACCGGGGATGTGGTGAAGGCAGCCGGTCCGAATCCTGCAGCCAAGATCCCTAAGCCCTAAATCCAAGCCCAAAACCCTAAATCGAAAATCAAGCCCCAAGCCTCTAACAGAACCTGGAACCTCGGAGTAGCAATCCCGCAAGGACTTTGCCAAGATTCAAGACCTAAGCGTTAAACCCCTTGAACCCTAAGCACCCCTGAAACCCGTCACCCGCAAATCCAGAGCTCCGTAGACCCCGTCCTGAGCACGTAAGCCCCTTGACGTAGAACCTTCAAAGCTGAAGCCCTGAACACAGTGAAAACAACCTGCTTCGGTAAGATGTCGCCTCTGCAGCACGCGTGTAGAGCTCCGAAATGCCAGGGCCTTCGTGACACGGGTTCTGAATGAGTTCTCTGTCAGGTAATAAACCGTCTGCTGACTCAGAGCACACTGTTGCCGCTGTTGCGGCTTCTGCTCTTGCTTCTATACTGCTCCTCCTCCTCCCCCTCCTGCTCCTATGACTCCGACGATGTCCGCGAATAATACGACTGTACCTCCGCCTACACTGATGCCTACGGCTACGACGACAACTATGACGCACGAATCATGACTCCGAAGCAGCGTTGGTACTGCCTTCGCTGATGGTCTCATCTCATCGTTTGCTGGCTGCTGCGGTTTCTGCTGCTAAGTCCATTCTGCCTGCGCTGACTACAGTGATTACTCCGGCATCGCTACGATCATAGATAGTGCCACCAATCTAGTCTCAGAATTGGTGGCAATGCACAGCAACACTGTTGCTGCTGTAGATGTATCATCATCGTCAGCCAATTGTTGTCAACTATCGCAAGCCCTGCCTAAACCCCGCATCCTCTAAAGACATCTATATACAATGCGGCTCTTGCTGCAAATCACCCCACACCTCCTTCGGCAGATTTGGCTTTGGCGACGGCCAGGAGGAGTTTGGAGACATCCTGGCGAGAGGCTTTCCATTGAAGGTTTAAGACCTCGGGCTTTGGGCATGACGTTTCATCTATGCCGGGTATGGGGTCTAGGGTTTGAGCAGTCTGGATTGCAAATTTAGCATACATGCTTCTGGTTCTACTTAAGTTATAAGTTGGAAATGAGGTTAGAAGTCCCTTAAGTTATAACTAGTTACCCTGTTAATACAACTAGCAAGCACCTCCAAGAAAGTTTCTGCGGTTTGAGTGTCCGACATTTCCGGCTGAGAGAGTGGCGCTTTGATGCCGGTATGTGCAGGTTCTTTTGCCTCATGCAGTAACAGTCCATAAAACGGGTACTACTAAGGGCATTACACATCCATTCACTCGTGTAGTATCACCCAACTGTTCCCGCGTGGGGCAGGACCCAAGGTTGCGGGCTTTCGAGCAAAGATGTAAGGTTCGGGTTTCAGAACTTAGTTCGGAGTGTAGAAGTCAAGACTACTTATGGTTTGGAAGCAAGCAGTGGAGCTACCGATGTGCGTAACTTCGTATCCATCAGCTCTACCACGCAGGCCTGCCTGCATGATTCCAATATGTTTCAAAAGTATATCTGCGCTTCATGACACTGCAGTGGAAACATAGTTACTCAGGCACTCATAGTAGGATGGGTTTTGGGCCCTTTGCCCAGGATATATTTCTGATCCTGCAGTCGCATCCGTTTTTCCGGCAGAGGGGTAGGGATTCCTGCGGTTTGTGTCCAGTGAGGCTTCTGATTGCTAGCATTTCCGAAAACACTCTGCATATACCGAGGCCTCAAACAGCTCCTATATTAGGGTACTTAAAGGGGGTTTCTGAGGATAGGGGGCCCTAATACAGTACCCTACATAGTAGGATCCCTGTGAACTCCCACAAAATGGCCCGGTCAGGGTTACTACAAGTGTTTAGAGCCTTAATGATCAGAAGAAAGTTTCGGGGGTTGATTATTAATGCTATGTAGGAACTTGCCTAGTTTTGATAAAACTGCTGATTGTTCAGACCCTATTTTCTGTGTGGTAGACCCCGATATACCTATCATGCTCCAATCGAAAGCTGGAATACCAGCCTCGGTGGTGAACGCATTCAACACCACAGCTGCCTGGGCCGCCGATAGCAAATTCTAGCAGGGGGTTGAAAGGATTGTATACAATGGCTTATAGCCTACTTAACAGTGTTGGTACGGTTTGATAGCCCAGAGATCCCAACACTCCTTGATTAAGGCTTTCTGGGATGTGCCGTGAACTCTTCATACCATGACTTAAGGTATATCAGGAGTATATACCTTACCTTATAAACTACTTCGTACTGTGATGTAATCTATATCCCGTAGTATTCGGGGGGCTACTATTTGCTTAAGAACCCACCCAAAAAAATAATACCTATATTACCACCCATAAGGAATATATTTTTTGTTTTTGGGGGGGTTCTTAAGCAAATAGTAGGGGGGTCTCGGGCTCCTTTAGAAGTCTTGAACCTCCTCAACAGTTGTGGGGTCTCCTGCGTGCTCTCGGAGCTCTGGTGGTGAAAGCTTTCAGCCCGTCGTGTTTCGGGGTTTTAGGGTTTAGGCTGGTTTAGGGTTGCAGGTTTAGGGGTCAGGGGTTTTGGGTTCTTGAGGGCTCCCATGCGGCTTTGGGGCTTAGGGGTGGAACTTTGCTTTGAGGGCGTACTGATGCAAAGCCTTTGGCTTCAAGGCTTCTTCCACGCTTCGAGGTCCAGCGCTTCTGATCGAAATTCTGGAGGATTTGCGAAACTGTTTGAAGTATTCGGCATTTAGAGTCTGAGGTTCAGAACTGCTCGCGACCTCCAATTCGTCTCTTTGGTGCGCTGGATCAGGCGCTTCCAGGTCTTCTGCCTTAACCCAGGAGAATGATGGCAGAAGAGCTCTAGGCGCATTGACTGCGACTCTGAGCCCAGGCACACTGAGGTAGTTGTCCATCTCAGACAACTTCTTGATGTCAGCCTCAACGTGCCTCTTGTACTTCT